ATATAATAATAAATCACGGATTATTTGAAACCGTTTTCAATTTGGATGGCTGCCGCCAGTCTTAGAAGACAACGCAACGGACTAAAGTTGGAATTATTATGATTTTATCCGATGCACTAATATTCTTCATGGTAGATAGATTTAGCCAACGCCATAGAAAATTTATTTTATATAATCATAAAATTTAAAATTTTGAACTTTATACTTAAATCATAAATTCTAGATAGAATATATGACACTAAAATAAGTCAGCTAAAATAGTATATGAAAACATACTTATTTATGAAAAAGTACATATTGTACAATGATAAATGATATTATTTTGATTAACATTGCATCTTAGATTCGATATCAAACAATTTTTTCTTTATAAAAAGATTTTATAATTCATAAACATAATTGTTTAGAATCTTTTCTCTTTACATAAAGAAATTATAATTTATAAGAGTAACTGTTTAAAATCTCCAAATGATTTTCAGAGCAAATTTTAATTTAGGGTATTCAAAGCCTCCAACTATCTAAAACATATTATAATTGGGAAGTTCTTTATCGTTATTAATTTCAATTAGTTTCATGGGTTGGCTTCATTTAGTTCGTGCTGATGAAATATGACCTTATTAGATAACACCCACACAAAATATTCCCCCTCCCAACCTTTACTCAATCTTATTAAATGTATACCATGGCCTCAATTAATCCTACTGTATTTTGATCATTCAAAAATTAATTAAAACCCGCTCAAAATATTTGATTCTAACATTAAAAAATTTATAACTTTATCATAGTACAATCTTCGTTAATTAGATGAAGCACCATGTTAGGACAAAGTTGTTGTGATATAATAAAAAATGCTTTAAATTACTAAATAATCTTCAGTTTGTATCATCTAAAACAAATCATAAACTAATAACCCCGTAACTCTCAATTATCGTAAGTTTTGCACTCATCAGTCTCAGGGTTGTCTTTGCAGTAAGTCTCCAGAGGATCGTTCTCTTTCATCCTGTCTCTAGCGTGGCTGGCTGCAGCACTCAGCTCTTCCACATCGTCCCAAGGTGCCACGCACTCTCCGCTCGCCGGATCATCGGAGCAACCTCTTGTGCTTCCTTGATGCTCTGTTCTGGTTAAGGTATGGAGCCTTGAGGGTGCTAACCTTGGAAGAATCATGTAGGTTGGCTGACATCCTTGGGCTTGCGAGGTTAAGACCAAACAGGGCTGCCATAGTCAATTTGTCGTTGTTTTCTCTGTTGGAGAATGAAAAGGGTTTGCTTTGTTTCCCGGAAATGGCAGACTTTTATTGGGAAGGTAAATGCTCCACTAGATTCTTATCACATTGGAACCAATAATATATCTCCACGTTTCCATAAAGTTGACATACTTTACGGAATATTATTTGTTAACATTAAGGGTAAATTATATAAATAGTCTCAAAATTTTAGAGTATTTGCGTTTTACTCATTCAACGTTTAAAACTTGAAATACCGTCATCAATTGTTTTAATTATTTTTAGGGTAAAGTATAGTAATGGTCATTAAATTTTTCTAAAACTTTCATTTAGGTCTCTCAACTTTTAAAACTTTAATACAGTCTCCCAATATTTAGTTTGTTTGTAATATGGTCTCTCAACATTTAGTCTATTTGCAATATGATCCTTGACCGTTTGACGCTGTTACATTGTCATTAGTACATTTGCAATATGGTCACTGAACTTTTCAGGCGATTGCATTTAAGTCCCCCAACTTTTAAAACTTGTAATACAATCCTAAATTTCATTCTAAACCCCAAATTCCTTTTTGATATCGAATTCCTTTTTCGCTTCTCTCTTCTCATTTCCAGCGTAACTTTTCAATCGGAGATGCATGAGAATTTCTAATCTAACTTTGAATTACATGGAGGTATTGACTTGAATAAGGGTTCATTAAGAGAATACTCGACCAAGTGACTATCGGGACCATCGACGATTTAAGGTGTAATGTTAGATACATGTCATCTCAGGTGAAGCATAGATGTTCGATGAAATGCTTGTGAGAAAAAAATGGGATTAGAAATGCAGAGTTGACAAATAATACTAAGATGAACTAAGTATAATTGTTGAAAGTCACCAATAAAACTGGAAATATTTTGTATAAATGACATAATAATTTCTTCGTTTAATCCTTGTGCTTAAAGATTTTCCAACAGATTATCAAATATAATGAAATCCTAAACAACGCAGTCACCTCTCAGTCTCTTTCGCAACTCGAAAGGCATCATGATAGGGTCAAGTAGCTGCTCTAAATATACTACCCTGTCATGATACATTTCGAGTTGCGTGCATGCAAAATTGTCTTCTAAAACTATAATTCAATACAATTCAACTGTAAAATTTTCAAAACATGCAAAAAAATTAATTCGTTCACGATATATCAGTCCCATAATCAACATGAACTTATTAAAAAAAAATACGAGCTCACAGGACGCCGAAAATCACAGGTCGGATCAATACAATTCCCAGTAAACTAGTACCAGTAGTCTCTCGGATTGAGCATGGCGATTTCACTATATTGATATTCACAACCAATTCCCTGATTTAAATAAAAACCAAACAAGAAGATCAAAAAAAAAATTAGCCTAGGACCTTATTTCACTTCTATTATGATGGATTGAATATATTTCATAAGGAGTATTAAAAGTTTTGATTAAGAAAAAAAATTAGATGATTTTGGTTCAAAACTAACACTGAATATCCATATCATTAACATGCAGTTCCAGAAACATAAAAATTTCAACAAAAAACACACATTACGAGCTGAAAATGAGAAAGTGCGAAAGAGGAAAATGTTACTTCCGGATAGCCCAAAAGAGAAAATAAATAGCTTCTTGCAAGTGAGGGGACAGACTAAGAAATAAACACAATCGGTGTTGCGTTCCAGCAATTCTTCCTCCATTTTTTCTTTGTAAATAAAAAAGCTGAAAGACAGAGCATTGCTTGGGTTTACAATTTTACATGGCAGAAAATTGAAGAACAAAAATCAAATGAGAGGTGAATGCGCTGTTTGAGATTTCATTATATTTGATCACCTGTTGGAAAATCTTTAAGAACAAGGATTAAATGAATAAATTATTATATGTCATTTATACAAAATAATTCTAGCTTTGTTGGTGACTTTCAACAATTATACTTAGTTCATCTTAGTAGTATTTGTCAACTCTGCATTTCTAACCCCATTTTTTTCTCACAAACATTTCATCGAACATCTATGCTTCACCTGAGATGACCTGTATCTAACATTATATCTTGAATCGTTGATGGTCCCTTGGTCGGGTCTTCTCTCAATGGACCCTTATTCAAGTCAACACCTCTACATAATTCAAAGTTAGATTATAATTTCCCATGCATCCTCGACTGAAAAGTTACGCTAGAAATGAGAAGAGAGAAGTCAAAAAAAGGAAATTCAAGATCGAAAAGGAATTTGGGGTTTAGAATGAAATTTAAGATTGTGTTGCAAGTTTTAAAAGTTGGGGGACATAAATGCAAGCGCCTGAAAAGTTCATTGACCATATTGTAAACGTACTAACGGAAGTGTAACGGCGTCAAACGGTCGGGGACCATATTACAAACGGACAAAATGTTGGAGGTTGTATTGTAAGTTTTAAAAGTTAAAGGACCTAAATGAAAGCTTTAAAAAAATTAGTGACTATTACTATATTTTACCCTTATTTTTATTTTGATTCCTAAAGTTATCTCCCGTTATATTTTGTTGACGTAACATTTAACCCCGTTCTTTTTTGCAACAAATCTTTTGTCTTTTCGAAACTAGTCCTCACGTTGATTCGGCACCATGCTCCAAGAGGCTTATAGATACGTCCGATTCTTGCAAAATCAAGTCTCCAATCTCCAGTCGATGTCCTTCACTTCTAGTTTCTCATCGGCTCAACATGTTAATGCTAATGGCTTTATTGGACTAGAAAGTTTGAACCCGAAACAGCTTCTGCAGGTCCTGATAAACTCCCTCATAGCGTAGACCATGCTTTGTTCACATGGTTTTTAACGTTTTTTGCTTCTGAGCAGTTGGTTTCGCTTCACAAGGTCAAGGAGAGGAAAACAGTGCTCCAATAGTTTCTTCGTGGTAATATCAACTAGTAAAGAAAACAAAAGCCATGATATTAGTTATTACCCTTTTTACCATGTATTTCATGTCATTTGCAGAACACATAGGAACAAAGGTTGTCGTGCAAGAAGAAGAATTTACAAGGAAGAAGAAGAAGAGGGGGAGTAAACGCGGTTAAGTGTTATGTCAGCAAAACATAAAGAGAGATAATGATGGGGATTAAAATGAAAATGAACTAAAAGTTTGAGTATTGTATTGAAAGTTTTTAAAAAAAGTTATCAGAATGCAAGCGCCTTAAAAATTCGGAGACTATTTATATACTTTATCCTAACATTAATTTTAAGCTAATTTTATTAAAATACATATACCATAAATAAATCAAAATTGAAATTCGTGTTCGTGTCATTAAAAATTTTAGGAGGGTTAAACAACAAGATGAGATATTAAATTTATTACATAAAGTTAAAAGTTTAAATTTTAATACTTTGAATAAAATAGATTAAATTAAAAAAATTATTCTTATAATAAATATTTACACAATTCAATTTAGATTAGTCGATCAATAGATTAAATATTGACTAATAATGAATCTAAAAATATGTTTGAGGATTGCATGCATATATATTAACAATATGAAACTTTTATGTAAAGTGGACATAAATAAAATTTTAAGATAGTCATAATTAATAAAGTAAATAATTATCAGAAAAAAATTCAGATTTCAATTATCCATCCTCAGTAAACCCTCACTGATTTTAGTAGTGCTAGGATTTTAGAAGTGTTATCCGGATGCTATTATAAACAAATTAAATAAAAAATAGAAAAGCATATTTAATATTATTAATATATAAAACAATAAATATTACAACTAATATTTTATTGATAAATAAGCAAACAATCTTTAATCACAATTTATCTTAAGAAATACCAAACTGAGTTTGCTCATCTTGAAAACAAGAGCCTAATGAAGGGGGTCACAAAAGATCAAAATACAGTCAAAGTTGTCTCCACAAATTCACAAAACATTAAAACATTTATTCTTCTGCAACAACACTGATTTCGCCTTTCTCGAGCATGTCATAGAATGCTCTCACTTTCCTCTGCTCATTCCAGTGATGCATCTTCCAAAGCCCACCAGCACAAAGGCCAAGCGTTATTCCAATAACTATCTCCTTAACGACACTCGGTCCTTTCAAGGTAGCATGAGCAATCCTAGATCCGGCCATTTCACTTCTACAGTTGAATCTAACAAACCTAGAACCAAGAATAAAAATTTTCATCTTTCAAGGTATAATTGGAGGAATCCAAGAATATCACAATTTTAAGTAATTTTAACATGCAAATCAATTGAAAAAACAGAAATGCAACCAGCATAGATCACAAAGGTTCATAAACCTAATAGTGAAAAATATGGCAATTCCTGAAAATATAGGTAACCATAACTAGCAAGTAAGCCCATATCAAATCATCACAAAGAGTAGCTTAGCCAATTATAATTTATAACATTAAATTCCTGCTACTTCTGAAAAACATATTGCTTTACAAGCTATGGTTTCAAACGATATAGCTCCAAATGGAAGAAACATGAAATTGCATATGCAGATTTGTTCCCTAATATTGTTTCTTTTCATCCAGGATGGTTATGATGTATGTATACTGCTTATTTATCTATTTGTTTTGGGACCAATATATTTCTTGCCATCAAAATTTCTGGAGTAGAATTTTTATCTTTCCTTCAAAGGTGATCAAGAGGATTACTACCGTATGAAATTCATTTCTTTGGAATGGGAATGAAATTTCGGCTAGAGGAGCTAGAGTTAGTTGGGAGACAATTTGTCACACAAAAAGCAAAGGAGGACTCAGGGTTAAAGATATATCACTGTGGAATAAAGCCTGCATGACGAAATGCTTGCGGCTGATTTTTACTCAATCATGTTCACTTTGGGTGGCTTAGATTGAGAAGTATATTCTGAATGGATGCACAATGACATAGTTGGGTTGGAGAAAGCTACTTAAACTCAGATGCAATGTTACAGGTTGGTGATTTGCAGGGTGGTAATAAAGCAAGAAAGGTTTGGGAGATACCTAGACATAAGCAACAAAAAGTGCCTTGGTTCATGTTGACTCCGTAAGAGATTACAGGCTTAAACCTGACATAGTCCTGCAAAATTCTTCACCACTTAAGCTATGTTCCAGGACCATATCAACTCGAGTATTTTTCAATGCTTTACACCTTGAATTCATCAATGGAGTAGTGGAGTTTGGTCATAATGTCTTTCCTCTATTCCAAAACAACATAACAACGACTTCAATTATTTCATTGTTCTTTGGATACTTCAATTCCATGGCAGTTTTGTTGTAACAATATCATCTCTTGGGTTTAAACACTCAAATTAAATACACAGATGGCTCGAGATTTGCACACTCTTAGTTTTCCAAACAGTTAAACTAATGAAATTATATAACTATTAACATTTCGAACTGCAGTTAGGTGTAAAAGAAATATAGGAAATTTACCGGGAACTTTCAAAGCATAATTGAAACAATCGTTAAACATATTTTGCAATTAATATTAGACCCCTGAAACGGATCTTAAGATCTCAAGAGCAATAACTAAAACAAATAAATCAACTTTTCCAAGTATACGAATAAGCTGGATTCAATCAAGAGTAATAGATTAGGGTTTACCTGCGATGAAGATTCAGAAATCAATAGAACCGGGGAATGGATTGATTTGTACAACCTTTGGATCTTTGTACTATATAGTTTAGAAATTCTCTACTTTGCCCTCGTGAAATAATGGGCTCAACTCAGGATGGGCCAACATCTCCAATTTTTTCTCTTTGAATACCTCAATTATGGTTGATTTCTATTTTAAATTTAGGGTAAACTATGAATATTACTATACTTTAAATTTTGTATTATTTTTATTATTAAATTTTTAATTTCAACATTGAATTTTAATTTTGAATTTAATTAGAATATTAAATTGTTAAATTGTTAACGATATGATAATATATTTGTTACCTTCATGTAAATTTTATTTTGTTTATCGATTTTAATGTCAAATTTTGAAAATGTTTCGATTTTAGGTTAAAAAAACTATCAAACCTTTATAGCTTTCGCTATCAGTCAACCCCCACTTGTTATTAGTCGTCGCCAGCGACAAGATCAATGCTAAAGTATTTGTGTTTTACTCCCCCTCCTCCTTGGATTGAATTTTCACAAAAATAACTTAAAATCGATGAACATCCATCTAAAGATTTGATGTTGTTACATTCTAAGCTCATCTTCTTTATGATCATTCAATGAGCATGTTTTTCGTATTCTCAAATGAATGCTTCTTACCATTTGAATTTTTGAATAAACACCTCAAGTGTAAGAAAGCCTCAAGAATAATAGATTTTTATGTTTAATTTCTTAAGTTTTAAAGAAAAAAAATTGATAAAGTTGTAGAGGAGATGAGACGAGTTCAATACCCAAAAATAAAAAATAAAAAAGAACATAACACACTCGGTAAAGAGTTGGCAGTTTTCAAGGGGATACACAGAATGATCCATTATCCAGTATTACTATTCAAAGACAATCAGAAAGTTGGCAAAATCATATTTCTAGTTCTCTCTAAACAGAAAATGTAGATAGCCATGTCATTGACAGCGAAGTTGGCTAAAAGGAACAAATAGCAACACCAGGAGGCTACTATTCATCACTATCAGCTGTGGCGGGTAGTGGCTGAAGTGCTTTGAGCGGATTCATGATGACACCATCGATTAGTCCGTATTCTTTTGCTTCTTTTGCGCTCATGAAAAAATCACGGTCGGTGTCCTGGTTAATCTTCTCCAAACTTTGGCCGGTATGGTAAGCAAGATACCCGTTTAAGTTCGCCTTATGATGCAGCATTTCGTTCGCCTGTGATTATCATTAATGTTCGATCGTCGAGTTACGGCTTAACACTTTAACTGAACTAAAAAGAAACTACATGCTAAACACAGTTCAACAAATCCAAATTGCTGATGTTTGGCAAGAATTTTCATGAGGGCACCCCACTTGGCCGTTTTATATCGTATCAAAAACATCAAGATTCAAGAATAAATTGGTTTCATTTGATTTATTCAGAGGGTTATGAACTACGGAAGGCAGAAGTACAAAAAAATTAAAGAACATACGAAGTTTGCAGAGAAAAAAATCATACCTGAATGTCGATATCAGTTTGACCTCCTTGAGCTCCACCAAGAGGTTGATGTATCATTATCCTTGAATTAGGTAAACTGTATCGTTTTCCTTAAGTTTCGAGGAAAACAAGGGGATAAGTGCATTTAGTAGACCGGGGGAAATTACATCAAACAACAGAGCTATGAATGGTACAAAACACAGGCATTTGATATACCTTTGGTTCCTCCACTAAGCAGAAAGGCTCCCATGCTGTTCATGGAAAAATAAAGCATCTCCATTACTAAAAGAAAACAATCGAATCCACATGAAAATAGAAAATCTTATTCTCAGGAGCATCCATAAACATCTTTGTTTTTAGAAATGCATTTCACGAAAAACGGTTTACAAATTTCCAAAAGTCAATCTCATGGTCTTGCATTAGAAACTTTACTTTGTCATATGATTAATATAGGTGAAGCTATAACCCAATTCTAAGCTTCCAAACATCGAGTGAATATTAAATAATGAGTATAAGACTCTTTTTTCAGTCAATCGTGTGATTAAGGTCATCAAGATTCTAGGACAAAGTTGGGACGCCAAACATAATGTACAAAGGTCAAGCATCGAGCAGGGGAACATGAGAAATAAAATAAAATAAAACAAATCCTATCACTAGACCTCCTCGATCTCAAATAAATTCAAGTATCACGGCCCATTTTGCCAAAAGAAAAATACATATATTACACATATTAAGAATATACTCATCAAGGATGCAACACCTGTTAGAATGAATCAAAAACCATAAGTTTCGAAGTTAAGATAAATTATCCCTGATTAATAGACCAAGCAAGCAGGCATAGCTGCAAAGCTATTGTTATCTGATGTTCCATATTCGATATTTGAAAATATAATTGGACTGTGAGCAGAAATAATTTACATCAATCAATTTATACCTAGCTGCAAGTCCAACACACACAGTCGAGACATCGGGCCGTATATGCCTCATAGTGTCAAATACAGCCATACCTAAAAGAGGGGGGGTTTCAAAACCACACAGGTTAGCCAAGTCAATGAAAATTGTCCACAGATTGGTATTTGAAACAAACCAATGAATGTATAAATACATGATCCTCATTAGACAGATACATTACCGGCTGTAACTGACCCTCCAGGGGAATTGACATACATGACAATGTCCTGTTGACAAAGATCAAACAACACATGAATCGTAAATAACATGCATACAGGCTCCAAAGATGTGTATGGTAGAGCGGGAGTGAGCAAACATGAAACCGACGAGACCTTATTAGGATCAACAGCATCAAGATAGAGAAGCTGAGCAACAATAATGTTTGCCATATCATCATCAACGGCTCCACCACAGCGAATAATTCTCTAACAACGGAAATAAACACCAAACATAAGAAACTGAAAAGAGAAAAACCCTAATTTTGTTAAAGCCAAAATTCACAACCAAACCAAATCCTTACGTATTGAAAAAGTTGGCTGACAACACTTTGAAATCTCTCTTGCACCATTGGAGGCGGCCCCTGCCCTTGTGCATATGCAGGAAAGTAAGGTGACGGTGGAACTTGCAAATCATCCCTGCATAGTTACAGAATAAAATCATTAATCTTTATTTATAACAATTCTACTTTTCATTTTTTAAAGGGTTATAGTTCCATACAAGCACTTACCTTATCGACCAAATTCCCTGTCGAGAACTTGTCTCTGGAGCCCAAAACTCTCCGGTGTAAACAGCCTTTGGCTGAGAACTAATCACATTCTTTTGATTACCAAGTAGCTTCTTCAATTTCCTGAAAAATGAAATTAAAGAATTTTTTTTAAAGCATCATCTAATTAAGTAAAAACGTAAACATAAAAAATGGATCTTTGACCCTCTCTGAAGAAATTAACATTACAACAAAACATGGATTCTATTCAAAGATGAAATTAAAAAGAAAAGAAAGTACCTGGGACGAAGGGGATGCAAATGAAGAGAAAACTTATGAGAATCAAGATTGTTTGGAGAGAAGAGCGGAGAACTTAATCGAAGAGACGAAGCCGATGTTGATATGCACGTGCTTGCCATTCTTACCTATGAACCAAGATTAAACCAACCTGAAAAAAGTTGTTGAATTTAGAGGCGTGTTTATGGGTTTTTTATTTGAATTGGAGTGAGGAAATGCAGGTTAGGGCTACGGGCGGGGGTGGCGATAAGGGTAGTGGAGCTGCCTCTAGAGGAGTGCAGTGCTTTAACTACAATCCAAATTTTTGCTTTCGATATCTTTTCCCCAACCTACAAATTATCTTCTTGTTTTGACCCCATTTTGGATTACGGACGGTACCCAGAAACAAAACAAATACTCTTTTGGTTCAAGTACTATATATATATATATAAGAGAAAATCGCCTCAGTGACCAAAAAAAAGTTATAATATACGATTTTAACCAACTTTTTTTGGATTTGCCAAAATGACCAACAAAATCGCAACGCGAAATAAAAATCGCAACGTGATCCCCAGAATCGCAAATCAGTTTCCAAAATCGCAACGCGATTCTTGAAAATCGCAATGCGATGTCAAATTCGCATTGCGATTTTCCAAAATCACAACGCGAATATGAAAATCGCAACGCGAACACATAAATCGCAACGCGTATCCGTAAATCGCAACGTGTATCCGTAAATCGCAACGCGTATGGGTAAATCGCAATGCGTATCCGTATATCGCAACGCGTATCGGTAAATCGCAACGATAATACATAAAATCGCAACGCGTATCCGTAAATCGCAACGCGATATTTAAAGCGCCATTATAATCGCTACGCGTATTTTATTTTCAAATTACAAAAACGAATATTAAGACAAAATCCCGTAATCGCAACTCATAACCTAAAACCTAAAATCACAACTCAGTCCCATCTCCATCTCTCACTCTCTACGGCGAAGAAATCCGTCCCCATCTCCGAAGATTTCAGTCCCCATCTCCGGCGAAATCCCTCACAACCATTCACGGTCAGAAATCCCTCACAATATTCAGAAATGGAAAATCAACCTCCGAGGGTTAGTTTTTTTAATTATTTTTATTTTGAAATGTTTGCATTATTGTAGGTTTTTCATATTGAAATTGATGATAAGTTTACTGGTCATTTCAATAATAGATTAACCATTTCACTTAGATTTCATTTCGCGTTACGATTCTCTCGTTGCGATTTTCATTTCGCGTTGCTATTCTCTCGTTGCGATTTTCAAGTTAGTATTTGTCTTTGTCTTTGTTCTGTCTTTTGGTTGAAGTAATGCAATCCATTCAAGTTTCAATTTGCAGAAGAGTCGCAACGAGATAAATGAAAATCGCAACGAGAGAATGACTGTCGCAACGAGAGAAATGAAAATCGCAACGAGAGAATCGCAAAGCGATATGAAAATCGCAACGAGAGAATCGCAACGCGAAACCAAAATCGCATTGCGATTTTCATTTCGCGTTGTGATTCTCTCGTTGCGATTTTCATTTCGCGTTGCGATTCTCTCGTTGCGATTGTCATTTCGCGTTGCGATTCTCTCGTTGCGATTTTCATTTCAACCAAAAGACAAAACAGTGTTGCAATTTTAGTTTCAAGAATAAACTACTACTTTTTATGTTTATTGTTTTTGGTATATCTTCACAGTGTAGTTTTTGGTATATCTAACTTGGTATGTTTATTGTTTTTGTAGAAATTTTTTTCGGCTCAATTGACCTTGAGAAATAAAGTCAGCCTGGCCACTACAATTGCTTCGAAGCTTTCACCTGCTCAAAGACAATTGTTTGAGGAAACCTGCTTCGGGCCATGGCTGAGAGTACAGCATCCGGGTGGAGATGCTAATTTGACCCATTTGTGGCTTCAGACCATGACATCAAATCTACCCGACAGTATACAACGTGGTGAGGAAGAGATATGGTTTCATTTTCCACCAGCGTATACTTGCTTTGGGCGGAAGGAGTTCTGCTTAATCACTGGTCTACGATTCGGACACGATGATGTAGGCCGGTACACTCGTCATATCGCCGCCCATCATGGTTATCCCGGGTTTTTCCGGATGAGTCAATGGAGAAGCCGAACCTACATGTCGACGACCTGAAGAAATTGTTTAATAAGAAAGCTGGTTTCACTCGGATGGATGACGTCGATGTTGTCCGAGTATGCCTTCTACTACTTGTGTATGCCGGCTTTTTAGGCAGAGAGGCCAGACAACCTATTCATCGGGAGCTAATAATATTGGTAGAGGACCTAAATGCATGGAATCTGTTTCCGTGGGGTTCGTATATATGGAAAGCTACCTGGACTAAGTTGTCGTATGCCTTTGATGACCGCAAAAGTTTGCGGGGCGATGGGTCCAAATACACTTTGTCAGGCTTTGTTTGGGCCTTTAAGGTAAGAATTTCTATATAATGTTTCTAAAATTATAATTAATTATTTAACAATTACTAATTTTGTTATTATATTGTTTGTAGATTTGGATATTCGAGGCTTTCCCCAGCATGCGTACATATGCAATAAAAACGTCAAATGATATTCCCAGGGCTATTTCCTGGAAGAGGAAAACTCTGTTGGATTGGGAAGACTTAATACCATATGCGACAATAAATAATGTAAGTTAACACAAATACTTTCATATAATATATAAACAAGTTATTAATAGTAGACGTTTAACTTTGTTGAGTTTTTATATTTTAGGAGGCCAACATTCCATTACAAAGACTGACACCCACGGAGGAAGAGCTTGCCACTGATTGGTGGCAAGCTAGTCAGAGTTTTTTTGATGGCACGGATGATGAGCAGCATCCACTTCCTCCAATTCGAGAGCCATCACCTCACCTAGAGCCATCACCCGATTGACCCGACTATACACCTCTAGAACGAGAGCCATCACCTATCCCGTCACATCATCGAGCCTCTTCTCCACCATCACCTCATGATAGGCGACCGGCAAAGATGCCACGACTCCTATCTCCCTGTTCTCCACCTCAACGGGATGAGTCAAGGGAGTTACGTGATGAGGTCAATGCCTTGCGTGAGGAGATCGGTACTCTACGCGATAACGATGGTGCATGGCGTGTGGAGGTGTCAACTTTACGTGGTGAGGTTGCCGCTCTACGTGAGATGATAGTATCGTTGCAGAATGAGGTTCATACTCTACGCAACGAGGTAAGTTTAAGATTTTCCATATTTAACTTAATGATAAATTTACTCGTAATTTCACTTAGATTAGCCATTTCACTTAGATTGCTTAGTAAATTTATTCGGTTGCTGCCCATTCTGCTAAACTGTGTATTCTTTAACACTGTGAAATAGTATTTGTCTTTGTTTTGTCTTTTGGTTGAAAGTAAATTTGTTCGGTTGCTGCCAATTCTGCTAAACTGTGTATTCTTTAACACTGTGAAATAGTATTTGTTTGTTTTGTCTTTTGGTTGAAAGTAAATTTGTTCGGTTGCTGCCAATTCTGCTAAACTGTGTATTCTTTAACACTGTGAAATAGTATTTGTCTTTGTTTTGTCTTTTGGTTGAAAGTAAATTTGTTCGGTTGCTGCCAATTCTGCTAAACTGTGTATTCTTTAACACTGTGAATAGTATTTGTCTTTGTTTGTCTTTTGGTTGAAAGTAAATTTGTTCGGTTGCTGCCAATTCTGCTAAACTGTGTATTCTTTAACACTGTGAAATAGTATTTGTCTTTGTTTTGTCTTTTGGTTGAAGTAATGCAATCCATTCAAGTTTCAATTTGCAGAAGAAGAAATAGTTTACTTTCGCAACACGAAACTTAAAATCGCAACGCGAAACCAAAATCGCAACGCGAAATGAAAATCGCAACGACAGAATCGCAACGCGAAACCAAAATCGCAAATGCGATTTTCATTTCGCGTTGCGATTCTTTCGTTGCGATTTTCATTTCGCATTGCGATTCTGTCGTTGCGATTTTCATTTCGCGTTGCGATTTTGGTTTCGTGTTGCGATTTTAAGTTTCGTGTTGCGAAAGTAAACTATTTCTTCTTCTGCAAATTGAAACTTGAATGGATTGCATTACTTCAACCAATAGACAAAACAAAGACAAATACTAACTTCAGGGTATTAGTTTGAAACATATTTTTCTTTGTTATCTGATGCATTTTGTGAACTATGATAGAATAATGACTTGGGTGAATACAATGCAAGTTTGAAACATATTTGTCTTTGTTTTCACTGTTTAAATATCATGTCTGTTTATTTACTGATTTTTGTATTTAATTATTTAGCGGCCCGATAGAGTGGATGCTTTACGTCGGGTTATGCTTGCACGACGGAGTTCACGCATCAGACAGCGTGCTCGTGCTATTAAGTCTCCGTACACCCCAATAGTGCGAAGACACCGCAAGAAGAAGCCCGACTCGCCTGTCATCCCTCAAGAGTCCACTCCTATCGTTGAAGAGGCCCCCCTATCATTCCTCGAGAGTCCCCTCCCACCGTTCAAGAGGCCACTGTCATCATTGAAGAGGTCCCTCCCACCATTCAAGAGCCCGATTCACATGGCGTCATATGTAGGCTTCTTGAGAAACCCTCTGACGTGCCGGACATGATGGATTCAAGTTGGCTCTCGTATGAGTTACCGGCCAGTACCATACCGGTATCTGAAGAGGAGAGGGAACAACTACCGGACACAATTCTGGATAACACCCTTTGGGCTAAGACGCTGTTGATTTTTATCTACATGAGCAGAGCCAGGGGTGTTTCACTGACATATGCAAGCTCACCGATGATATCTATTTGTTGCTTGATCGGTCTTGGTGGGGCGTATTATTAGGGGTCGAAGACAATGGCTATTTCGATGGGGGGGTAAGTCTTATATTTTCTTATATTTCAATTTGATTAATTTTTTTTTTAAATTTATGTAAGTCACTAATATGTCTTTTTTTGTAAAACAACATATCGATGCGTGGGTGACACGTCTTCTAATAATAAGAAAACTTAAGAAAAATAAAATATACGATATACAATTATGCCGACGTCTTTTCACGCCGTTCACTGAAGAATGCACGAGATGAATCATTTGATTTGGGCAATGGACAAGCTAAACTTTATCCTGCATGGTGGGAGGTCGATAAGGTTAGTATTTATTTTAGATTGAGTTTAAAGGTTTTATGAAATAAGTGCGCAAATGAATGAATTATTACTTATGATTGCAGGTGTTTATCCCTGTTTTGGAACGTAAACATTGGATTCTCGTCGAGCTTCAGCTCCCATCCCTTAAGACAATAGTGTATGACAGCATGATAAATTACATATCATTGGCTGATTTAAGAGATGTTATTAAG